ATCTTGTGTGATGTCTTTTTATATGTTGAACAAAACTAGATGGGAAATGTCAACAAGTCTGTAGAATGGCGGCCATTTTGAAAAATAAAAAATAAAAAATAAAAAAGGCCGCTTCCTCAATTTAAAAAAAAAGCCGGACGTGAAACATGTTTTTTTTTTTACTTGGCCTAATGGAAATGATTTTTGGCAGTCAATGTGTTAAATTGCATTTAGACATACAACAATTAATGGAGTAAGCTGTAACATGGTGAGGATACTTGCCTTCCAATCCCAGGGTTCTGGGTTCAAACTTTGTCATTGCATGATTCTTTTCTCATAAAGCCTCATAAAAGAGACTTCATTTATAAAGCATCATTCTATACAGTACAGTAAGTGTACTTCCTTTTAGATGTGAAGCATCAATTTGTTTGGGCTATTTTGACCACGTGACAAACCATCTAAATATTGCGAGCATGTAAGAAAGGAAATGTTAACAAATTTAGCGCTGCACAGTGTTTGGAGGATTTCATTATCCAAAAACGGTATAAAAATGCACTCTTTTAAATGATCGATCATTAGTGAGCACTATTAAAAAAATACATTCCTAATCTATACATAACACTGAAGAAATTAAGATATGTTCACTATCAAAATTGCTAGAAGCTAGAAACTTGATCTTTATGGGTCAAATTTGCAAACTACATTTCTTATTATTTATCAATACAAATAAGTAACAATACTGTAATATACTTGCCTATTTTGAAAACCCTCAAAATCATCCCTTTGTTCGTCAATGGATGATTCCAAATCCAAGTATAATCCATTATGAGATAGCTGCAATGTACAATCTTCAAGCTAAAAAATAAAAATAATAAAACATTTCATTCTAACAAAACTGGAATTTGTGAAAAGTGTGTAAAACCTTAGAAGGCTACAAAATTTACATAATTATTTTACATGCTCTCTATAAAATGATGCAAGATTTAAAAATCATATTTTAAATGCTTTTTTTAATTAGTTAAATTTTATATTAACAAGATTCAAGATACAAGATTCAAGATTCTTTATTTGTGTCCTTTCGTAAAATCATTTGGTACATCACATCACCAAACAAAATGCAGTAGTCAGTATATTTAATAAATACCTTATATTCCGGTGTATAAGCCGCAAATTTTATACACGATTTTCCCCATGAAGTTTGGGGTGTGGCCTATACACGGGTCATTAACCTACTCCCAAGAAGTTCAGATCGCGAGCCGCGGTGGAAAAAAGGCGTCGTCTGTCTAGGTTAGGCCCATGCTAGCCCAATTAATTAGCCTAGGGTAGGACTGGTTTTTAGGCCTAGTATTTGTAATTATACTCACTACAGTGCTGTACTAGGATTCCTACTACATTTTCTGCGACATTCAGGCAATGGTTTTTGGGTCGTCTAAATAATTACTTTCATAATTACATTCACTCATAAACAATTTTGAAACACGATGTTTCTGTTCGAAAGCGCTTCGCTCAAAACAATAACATACTATTTTCGGGGGTTAATTCAGTCCTCGAGGTCACGCATGAGCAGCTTCATTTTCGATGTTGCAACAAAACACATGTGGACTGGTGAAAATTCCTGTTCGACATCTGGTTCCCGGAGGCTTGTACCGTTATTAGAGAGAATATTCATACCGCTATAATTTTAGAATAAAAACTTGTGAAATTAATTTATGCTATAAAACATGAGTTTTCTTGAAGTTGTAATAATTATTTTACTGGAATTTAACTGTAGAAAGGCACGTCATCTGTGCATGCGTAAACCTTGTATCACACAATATTTCTCCAGTTCTGTTTTTGTTTATAAAACGTGGTGCGTGATGGTGCATGCTTCGCACAGTGGGCTGTGAGCAGTAATGACTTAGGATTAGAATTACCAATATTCTTAGCCTAATATCGACTGTTATTAGTCACCATAATAAGAGAATGATTGTTAAAAATAGATAAATATCTCAATAAGTATTTTATTTTATTAGATTTTATTAAACTTAAACTATAAAATGATGTTGAAAATTTAACGTAGGCCTAGCACGACCGTCTAAGAAATGGGGATTTCCCTAGAGCTGCCTAGAGCAAGAATATGTTATTTCATTGCGGTAGCTAGAAGTTTACACGCATTTCCAGTTGTTCGTTGTTTAATAATCGGCCGAAAAAGATGAAATTTCTTTATGTGAAGATTTGCAAATAATGTCAATGTTTCAAAATAATTAAAAACTTAACATTATGGGAACGGTGTGGAGCTTAAAATTAGGTGCGGCTTATAAACAGGTGACACAAAAAATCGTGATATTTCGAATCCTAATTAGGGGGACGGCTTATACACAGGTGCGGCTTATACACTAGAATATACGCTAGCTAGTAGTGGAGAAAATAAATTGTAATTAGGCCATAAAACTTATTTGATATTTTGATTAAGCATTTTAATGGAAAATGGTACGAATGAATGATTTTAACCTTTTACCCGAGGGTAGCCAAGTAAAAGATGCATTTAGTGGGTGGGAACTATCTATAAAAATACTCTTTACTTTATCAATAATTTTAATCTCACAGATATCATCTATTTGTCTATTTTGTTGTAGAATTTTTCCAGCCCGATTTATGACACGTTGTAGTCTATTATAATCATATTTCCTTAAATTACCAAACCAAACATAACTTCCAAACAAAAGAGCACTTTCAATAAAAGAAGAATAAAAAAGGCTCATTATATATGTGTCAACATTGAATGACCGCAATTTCCTTAAGAAATGGAGTCGCGTCATACAGTACAGTCATGAAATATTGCACTTTTACCTGCGCGCAGGCTTCGTAGATACATCGTAGCCTGACATAAACAATCTAACCTGCGCCCAGGCTTCGTAGCCTGATATAAACAATCTAAGCAAGGCTACGCGAAGCGAACCTACGAAGCAAAAGCATGTTTATTTGTATGTGCAGAAAGACTGCTGTAGCGTACTGGAATAAACAATGTATTGTTTGATAATTTGTGAATGGCAAACACGAGTTTAGACCGTTAATTTAAAGTATGGAACTGTTTTTCAATAAGAAAAACGTACACTTGACTTCATGGGACGCTCCTCTTCCACTCGCTGTCCACGACAGGAACTTGTTTGTACTGCTGTATAATTTTTTTTAATTAATTAGCCTAGGCCTAGCTATTTTTCATTTACAATTATTTTACCTCATTTAAAATGTCAAAAAACGATGTCCTCAATGGCAATACACACATGTGAAAAGATTGTTCATCAAATAATATTGTCTTGATTTAGTAAGATAAATAATAAATATAAAGGAGAATTAACGTCCGTTGAGCCGACTAAGCTACAGTAGTTGTTCTCAATAAGTCCTCTCAGCCTCAACTTGTCAAACAGATTTGCGTTTTAATTCTTTGGGAATTAATATGTTATGAATGTCTGAAAACAGCTAAATTATAAGGTACATAAAATGTCCTTGTTATTCTAGACACCAGGTTGAAAGATTAAACAGGGCTGAAAATTAACCTCCCAACCATAGTGGCCAGCAGGGCCAGTAAGAAGAAATTGATACTGGCCCTTCTAAAGTTATACTGGCCCTAAAAAAGAAAAATCAATAAAACCAGCAAGAATACATTGGTTCAATAATTTTTTTTTTAGCAAATTGAATCTGCCTTTAGCCAAAATTTGACACAAATTGTTAAAATCATTAGTCCGAGCTGACAAGAGCCTCAATTAGGGTACCGGAAAAGAATCCATTGTATTAGTTCACACACAGAGAGAGAGTTTTTATGGGCCAAAATTTGGATTTTAGACCACATTAGCAGGGCTCGATTTAGTACTAGCCCGGCGTACAATGTCTAGTAAAAACCGCTCCGGGCTAGCCTATTTACTCCGCATGTTGCCCGGTTGTCTAGTGGAGACTAGCAAGAAAAACATTTTCTTTAAAAAAAAAAAAGCGGAACTTTCGAGACAATCCCCTGTCTCTTATACACATCTAGATGTGTATAAGAGACAGATTTTTCCTCTATGTGAATCAGAAAATGTCTTAATATATCCCAAATAATAATATCAATATGAAAATCATATACATTAATTGCAAGGACAAAAAATATACCAAATAAAATTGATATTCATTAAAATATGCCTGCCCCCTAAATAAATGGAACAACCCATTTGTGGTGCTTCATTATTAACATAGTTTATTTTTATATGATTATATTTATATGATTATTTTTTATCAATAAAAAAGTAATAAACATACTGTAAATATCAAATTATGTATTTATTTATTTTATTTCAACAATATTTTACGAGGGTGGTCCATCCAGCCGGAGCTGATCATTAGGGACCCTCAATACGTAACACAAGTAACAAAGGAAATATAAATAGATTAACAAAGAAATTAAAAGGATAAAATAATAATAAAAAACCAAGTAACAAAGGAAAAGAAATTATTACAATATATACATATTATATTTAAAAAATTTAAAATAAAATTTAATAAACTATAAAATAATTAAAGGCAGAATAATAATGGCAAAAACAAAACAAAGAAAAGCAAAAAATAATGAATATTAAAATAAAAAAATACAAGTTTAGGGCCAGCCTGAAAAAAAACAGAGATTTAATAATTACAATGTTAATACAGTAACATTTCCCAATTACGAACCTCCCATTTACAAACTCTCAATTTTACAAACCAAATTTGCTGCTATTACTTCATTACGAACGATCGCTTTTAACTACAAAAACACTTCAAATTGTATTTATAATATAAAATGTTGCATCAGCTAAGAAAGAAAACATTTAAACCAATAAAGTCACATAAAACTAAGTTTAAAGCAAGAAATATCAATCGTTTTTAGCTGAGATATATTCAATTTTGAGTTGTGCATGCTTGTTTAAACAACTACTGTACAGTAGGGGAATAGAGAATCTCAAATTTTTTTCATTGGGGGCGCTATTTGAATGGATTTGTGATCTTTATGAAGAGAATAATAATGCTCGGTTTGGACTTAATGGTCACGTTTTTATTAGGAAATCACTTCAAATGAATACTTCAGTGAGTACAGATAATTTTCTATACAGTATTATTTTGTTGCAGAAAACAGTAAAATCTAAGTTATATTTCGTGACAAACTTTTGCTCCTACCTAGGCCTGTACTGTGTAGCCCTGTAGCATAGGCCTAAAGACAAAACTTTAGTTAAAATTTTAAGATCAGAAAAATTACAATTTTAGTAAAATGTTGACACATCATCATTATTTAAAATAATACACCTTCATTTTTTGTAAGGCCTTCAATATTCTAGTCTTTAACACACATTGTAAATAAAATAACCATCACAGATGAATAAATTACAAATATCTAAATGATGGAGCCTACAAACAACTACAGAAAAATCTAATTAGTATACCAACTTAAAAACTGAAACCACCATAGGCTACCACCAATTGTTGGAGTATCTAATAAAAATTCTTTTTTTAAACCAATGATTAATTGGTAGAAGCTAGTGACTTAACCTGAGCAACTTCCTCAGTTCATGTTCACTATCCCAAATGTATTGCTCACACTACCTAGTATTCCTTCTGTACAATAAGCCTTTTCAAAATAACAAGCACTGAGGCTAGAGGTCAGGTACTGAATCTGTTGTCATTCAGGTCCGAGACAACAATACTATCAACTAGAAATTGCAAATTGCAAGTGAAGTGCTGCGAAGTACAACTGCATATAAATGTTCTTCGAACAAAATTATTTATGCGAGTCAAGTGAAAATAATAAATAATAAAAATATAACAAATAATATGAGACATGACCTGTCTCTTATACACATCTAGATGTGTAT